TCTCTCCCCTCCCTATCTTGGAGACTCAACTTCTCTTTTTTCTATATTTTATACCCTAATAAATCATGTTCTAAAAACTCGGTGAAAGAATTGCGGTATGTGCTTCAACTGGTTCGATCACAAACTCCAAATGCAGCTTGTACATTAATGCCTAACCAATTCCGATCCAAACCTTACTTTTTGGTTCCTAATGCAGTTATTAAAACAAAATTATTAATTTATTTTGGATTGATCAACCAATTAACTTGTCACTCAGGAGCCACTATAAAACTTTATAACAACGCACACACATAAAATCATAGTACTAAAAATAAAATATGGATAATATAAAGACATCAAATAAACTAAACATGGCTCAATGTTGTTGTTGTTTATTTTATTTTATTTTTTATTTTTTAGTACTACTGGCTCTGTTACAATGTAGTATCTGTTCATACATACTTTTTTCAATTTATTGAAGTACAAAAAGACAATGTCGGTTTGAAACTATTGACTCTTCGGACACACTGAATCTCCAACGTAAAAGTTCAACTCTGCAACAAATACAATTAATTTAAAATTTTTACCGTGATGAAGATTAAACAAAAGAATATTTATGATGAAAATGGAACATTAATCACGTGAGTATCTTTTAGAAAAGAAAAGAAAAAGTCTATTATTTAAGGTGAGAATGGTACATGATTATTCAATGATTCAGTTATCTTAAGACGACATGCCACATGCACGTAAACAGGTATCAAAAAGTGAGACTATAAATCTGATTTGATTTATTACTATTCGTTGCCGGCCCAGCTTTGACTCAATCACCCTACCTGCTCGGCTGCTCCGCTGTAACGCTTAAATGTTCATTTTTATTGAGCAGTATGTCCATTTATTTGAACATGCATGTTCATTGATTCCATATTTCCTATATTAATTAGATTACTTTTTTTTTTTTTTTGGGATGGTTTTTAAAAGAAGAATCTAGATTGTTGGATACCATATGTTGGTTTCATTTAATATCATGCAGTATTTATCCAAAATTTTATGATAAACGATATTTTTACATTTGATATTCAGTATTATAGAATTTTCATTAAATCAAATAAAAACGTATTAATTGGGGCATAATGAATTGGGTGAGCCGCCTGAGCCCATTAGTGGACTATTACATAGGATCGAGTTGATTTAATTTAAATCATGTATATATACTCTTTGACAGTGCATGGTTGTATATTTTCTCGTCACTATAAAATGAGCTGGGTGATTTCTTTTGTTGGGGTTGACTTGATTGAAAGAAGAGCTAACTACCTTTTTTGTGCACCAAACAACAGTGTGGCTCATCGTATATGAGTATTTAAGTAAATACAAGATTTCAAATCTGACTCCATGTGATGAAAGCTCTGGTCAAATCCTTTGCCGTCTAGGGTCATGCTTTAAGTTCAAAACTTAGGAAATGAAAAATAATCATGAATAAAAGTATTCTTAATGAAATTCAAAATTAAGTATTTTTCGAGTGTCATCAAACTCTATAGACGAGAAATGCACTAAATTTAAATTATTTTCATAGTAATGTAGATATCGGATGTTGCATGTAAAATAACTATAGAATATAAGAACGTGGTGACAATATTAAAAAAAAAAAAAATCAAAATGAGGTGTCATTGTGTGAACACCAATCTTCCCTTTCTCCTATAAATTAAGACGTTAGGTAGGGTTTTGAAGTAGGAAACCACTTTCTCTAACAAAAAAGCCTAGAGAAGTCGTCGCAGCTATCTGGAAAGTGCGACGACAATTAGGTTTAGGGTTCGTTCGTAGGTCCGCTTTACGCGACCGACAACTCAGAGAACGTCGACGACGACGAGGAGGAGATATGAGGAGTTTGAGGGGGATGTTGGCTGGCTCGATGCACTTACTTATCATCTTCCTCAAAAACATGCGACATATACATACATATGGAAGATCATATATCTATAAATATATATTTGTCTTCCATATCCCATATATATATGTTGATGATGGTGGAGTGATGGCATCGGACCAGGCTTCATTCCTCCCAAAACACCCATATTTCTATCTGCTCTTTCAGGTTGTTTCTATCTACATGGCTTCACGCCGGAGGCCGGCCGGCCGGTGAGCTGGTTCTTGTTTTTCCGATCCCTTTGCCCTTTTGTTATGCAGATTAAAACTTAGTTAACTCTTTTTTTTTTTTTTTTGCCACAACCCGAGGCTCGGATGTGCACGGGTAAACTCCCCTTTTGTGATCCTAGCGGGCAGGTAAATTGACCGACTCAAATACGTTGATTGGTTAGGAGTCGGATTTGTAATCTTGTGCTTATTAAGCCTTGTGATCCTAATCAGGACTACAAAGAGCTAAATCAGCTTAGGTTACTCACTCGAACCAAGAAGATTATAAGACGTTCTGTTAGAGTAAAATTTGTAATCTTGTAGTTATCAACTCAACATGCTGACCAACTTGGCCGTGTTGGTTAATTTCTTATGCTCTGAAAAGGGTTTAATTTCTTCTCAATTTGTAGTTAGGGTTTCGAGAAATTTTAAAATATATATGTTTCGATCTGCTTCTTCGATCACCTTTCAGTATTCCATGATTTCATTTCTAGGTTCTTATTTTGTATGCATGTAAATATATATATCCCTTGAAAGTAGAAGGCACAGTAAATGATTTACTGATCTAATTGTAAAAGAGAAGTCTCGATCTCAACTTGAAGTTAGAGATATGAATCTTGCTGGAAACAGTTTTGATATTAATTTTAATTGTAATGATATTATTGTACGCGTAACGTAACGCTCGTGATTTCCTCTCTGATTCTTCACAAATGGGATCCTTTGTGTAGAATCTATCTTTGTTAATACAACAAATTTCTTCCATGTTTGGCTATGCATGGCTATGACACTACAGGTCTAACTTTTTCCATTTCTGCTTATTATTTCTCTTTTGTGTTGAATTATTGAACCGCTCCTTATTTATTTATTTAATTTAACTTGTTGGGTTTTAATTTCATTATATTGCATGTTTTGAATATTTGTTGCCCACAGGACACAGATAACATAGTAACAGTGAACAGTACCCCATCACTTCCAGTAAATGAAGATTCAAAGACTTTAAATTCTGTGTTTTATCAGACTAGGTTTTGGTGTAAATAGATAGGATTGTATTTTTGTATTATTTTAAAAATGTTTTTAACATCATGTATGTATCTGTGGACTAGCTGTGCTAGTAATCTAAGTCTAGATCTGTAACCCTATCTGTTCTACACTCTTTCATGGCCTTTTATAGACCTCAGATCACATTCAGTTTAATCCAACATTCATCTTAGCTTCTGCTGGGGCAACCCAATCTAGGTTTATCAAGCAGTTTAATCGGTAATCACTCAATTACAAGTTTAATTAACTCTGAGAGCAGATTATTGACAAGGTCACAAGACTAAGTTTACTCAGTCCATTGGGATTCTCTTGCCATACAAAAAAAACATTAATCTTCCGGAAATGCAAATATTGAAAGGCTGCCTATGTAATATTTAAAGAGTTAATCTCATAAGGAAATTCTCTGATTATAATGATTTTGTCAGGTTTAGTCTTAAATTTTTAGATTGACCATTGTGGTCCTTTAACTTTCAAATTATTACCACGTGGTCAAAGTTAACCATGGTTTTTTAACTTTTAAAATTTAATCAGCTGTGGACTTGTGGTCCTCATAGAATTGAAGGACCAAGGCTGCAATTTGATAGTTGAAGGACCATGAGTGGTTAACTTGACAAAGGACCACGGGTACTACAGTTAATTTGAAAGTTATGACTAAACGTCGTGGTAAAATCACTATACCCGGTGGACATAGATAGTATTAACTAAATATTCAAATGTTAGGTATAGATTATTAGGTTAAATGAGATTATTAATTTTTTCCCAACTTATATAATAAGAGAATGTGATTTGACACAAAAAATAATAATTCTATCTTGCAATACTAGAGATTACACTGTACCATTTCAGTGGTGACACACCTATCTCATGATCTAATCGACTTACAATTTGTGATCGGTAACACCAATTACTTTTGGTGGACTGTTAGTAATAGCAATAAATAATATTTTGAATCTTTAAAACAGTCCCTTTTTTTTAATTTGGTGATTGAAAATCATGCTTTTTTAGTAGTAAGTGTTAGATTTAATGGTAACCTAGACATTAGTTTGTTTGGTTTCATTTGTAATAAATATGAATATATGTAATTAAGAATGTTGTTGTGGGGTTGGCCTAGTGGTGTGTGAGAGTTGAAATGAATACTACTATTACAACTGATGAAATCAATGGAGGTTTTTGTTTGCATGCTTTCAAGGAGATTCCTTTGCTTCAGTACAATACAATTGAATACCAAGTAGCTACAAGAAAGATTCCAGACCTGGGTTTTAGCGAAGAGGAGGTCAAGAATTAACTAAGGAAAAAAAGTACTGACATATGTTTTGTTAATTAAGTCTCTCTTCCTTTTTTTTTTTTTTTTTTTTTTTTTTTTTTTTTTTTTTTTTTTTAACGAGAAAATTTTGACATCACTATTTAAATGTGTGTGCTAGGTAAACCCTATTTCTATGTAATATATAGCCCGTAAATTAAACCACACATGATAAGTAAACTATTTTAGAAAGACTCTTGTAATGAGCTCGACTGAAAGACTTTCAGTACTGAAATAATGTATTTTCCTTGAATACAATTAATGTACAATTTTAATATAGTAAAAGTACATTATTTGATAATATAGTCCACACAATTGTATGGATTATGGACCACAAAATAATGATTGTGAGCACTGAAGATGGGCCAAACGCAAGTTGTACTGTGTACCACTTTGGACCGTTAGAAAAGTTTTTGGCCCAATGCAATTCGATCAAGAAAACATGTTTCTGGTACTCAAAAAACATTCCAACGTACAACGTAGGAACAACAAAGATACCTAAGATACACCCAAAAAAAAAAAAAAAAAAAAAAAAAAAAAAAAAACAAAACAAAGATACCTAAGAGATCCAATATAATTTCAATAAGTTCAATTCCAACATTTATTCCTCAAGCTCAGAAGGGAACAATTGACCCGATAAGAAGTAAGAACAACAATGTTTCTCTGGCCATGAATGACATATAACAATCTTCAATTCTCCTTTCATAGGCTTAGCACTGTGGTTCCATCCTGGTCACCTCTCACCACAGCTAACACCTGCACCCACAACCACTCAATTTGAAAATACGATCTCACATTGACTCTACAAAGTAAGGGTCGAAACTTTTCTACCTTGCTCATAGTAAGCCTGTCGTCGAAATCGCTCTTTAGACAAAGCAATGCAGCTCTTGCCATATTCACAACCAATCTATCATCGCTGCTATCTAGCACCAGTCTGCTGTCCATCACCTTCCTTAGTGCATCTTCATCTTCAAGAAATGGTATTGCCTTTAACAAATGAGTAGCACTTTAGTCCAAAATCCATTTTTGCAACCAGCAACCCTAATTAAGTTAGTCAGACTATTAGCTTTGATAATCATGAGGTTCCAATTTCAATTCACAGTGAAAACAATCTGTTAGTCTTTTTCTTTAGCCAGTCAGTTATGCTCAATCTAAGCTAATTTACCTCTCTATATCTTTAGTTAGCTAGGTCACATGGTGGAATTTATCCCGTGTAAACTCAGGGAGTGACTGTATGTTTTTCTCGTTATAAAAATTTAAACGTCAATCTTATTCACACAGGTAACTCAGTTGATCCTTGAGTGACAGACTTAAAGTGAATCTTACCCAATCAAAAGATGAATGGTGGCCATCATCATCATCATCTTCCTCCTGGAGATACTTGTCTGTCTTTCCTGTTATGAGCTCTATGAGGAACCTCCCATAACCACGAATGTCAGCCAAAATGTGTTTGCTCTGTTCTCTATGATCTTCACCGCATCTTTCAACCATCAAAGAACAGAGAAAAACATTACTTATTCATTACAAAATTCATACTGCTCACTTGCATATATATAGTGGAAGTTCTGGTTCTTACTTAGCTGACAAATCTTCATTCTGATTTGCGGTGCCATCCTTCAGCAACCTTGCTCTATTCACTATGCATAACTTCAACAACAAATCAAAGAAACAGACCCATTATTCTTCTTCTACATCACTTCAAACTTTCAACATTACATATGCACATAACAAATGTTTTTTTTTTTCCAGCCACTATCTAAGAGTGTGTACTGAGTAAATAATGTCTTGTGACGTTATCTGAACTAAAATTGGGCATTAGCCCTACTACAAAAAGGGTCTTGAACCGGGCTCGGGACCAAATTGTAATTGTTGTACTCATCAGCCTCGACAAAGAATCGAGGTAAACCAGCCTAAATTAATTGGGTCAAATTAAAAAACCGCTCCAACGGAAAGTCAAACAAGTTAACAGCCTGATTAGCCTGGCTAGGATAAACTAGCCTAAATTACAATAAGTAACATGATCAAATCAAAAAAGTCAATAAATCCCTCAAAAAGTCAAACTTCTGTTACCAAGTCAACAAGTCAACAATCAACTTGGCTGGGTTTGTGACGTACCATTGCAGAAGAACCATGAAAGATTACAATTTGAGAGGAAGAAATGGAGATGTCTACAACAGGCCCATTCTCGCATTCCTCTTGAAGATAGCGAAGGCCGGCGCCTATTTCTAGCGCCACATTCCACCTCATTTTCCATGGAATTCTCTTACTGCACTCATCATCTGCAGATCGAAAGAATTGTGAATCTTGAATTCTTGATCTTATGGAGTTAATTATTAGTGTTTTTGTGTGAAGATGAGATGAGATTACATACCTAGCAGGTTGATTTCAAGAGTGTAGCTGCAAGGAAAATCGTAGACTAAGAACATAGATTCATCGGTGCAGCAGTGTCCGATGAGGCCGAGAATACTATGATGTCGGACTTGGGAAATGATCTCCAACACCGACCAGAACTCATCGTTGTCCTTGGGGAAACGTTTGACCATAACAGGCGTTCCCAGAAAGATCCCTTCATAAACTCTATGTTTCCCGCGATCGGTGCACACGGTGATCTCGTCGTCATATCCGTTCGTCATGTTCTCGATTTCTTCAATGGATAGTATCCGAGGAAATCCCATTCTCCAGGCGAGAGGCCGCCAACAAGGGCTCTTTGGCGTCGGCGGAGGAAACCCCATTCTGGATTCATCAGAAACTTCTTCTTCTTCTTCTTCTTCTTCTTGATCAGAGCTTTCTTGGTCTTCGTGGTTGTTGGCTACTTTATCTTCTTGCTCGGATTCTTTGTGTTCTTCTGGACGTTGATATTCATCATTATTGTTCCACCATTGTTCATTGTGCTCTGGAGTTCGCAGCGGCATCAATGTCGCTAGGCCTTTGCTCTTCATTACTGCTATGTTGCAGGCTACGTGCCCATATATATACACTTTCTCTTTCTTCAGAAAACTGCATTCATACATACCATTCACACTCCATTATAATATATAAACAAATTGCTTTGCCAAGAAGATAACTAATTCCGACAATTCCAGCCAAATTGATCAGACACTCTGACCATTGACTTGATAACTATAAGGTTCCAAATTCGACTCTTAATGTGAGCCGCCTATAGGCCTTTTGATTTGAGCTGGCCAGCTATGACCTTCATAGTCCCTTGCTGGCTAGGGTAACAAAGTCAGGTTTACCTAGCGTACTTTGGGTAATGGTTGCTAATTTTCTTGGTAAAAGACTTTTGATTTGAGCCAGCAAACTATGGCGTTCATGGTCCTATGCCGATTAGGATCACACGGTTGTGTTTACCCAGCACACTTCTGTAGTGGCTTCTCGGGTTCTCTAGCAAAAAACTTTTGATTTTCCTGGTCAGCTATGACTTTCATGGTCTTTTGTCAGTTAGGGTTACAAAGTTTACCCAGCATACCTCTGTAGTCGCCGCAAGTTTTCATGGTAAAAGAAAATGTAGAAGATTCTACAAAAAAAAGTGGAACTTATACCTGTCCAAAACTATCCAGCGTGGATTCAATTTGTGGGCTTCTTCAATTGTTATCTGCCTAGGATCATATCCTGCCGCAAGAGTGAAATCAAGATTAACCTGCATGCACAGTACATACAATTTTGTGTTATAAAAGAACAGTAAATTAAACCTGGACTTTAACCTTAAATTAGTCATTATTAACTTCAATTCTGTTGCAATGTCTGTAATATGGCTGCAGAATGCGCTGATATTCTTCTCTCTTTCTGTCAATCTCCGCCTTGATCACTCTGGGACTCGTTTCTGCTTGTCCTTGGAAGTCCAAGTTTAACCCTAGAAGATTTTATCATACTTTTAGTTGAAACGTAACTCGATCATTCTTAATTTAGTTAGAATATATATATATATAGATTAAATTGGAAAACTTACAGGTCTTGGATCCGATTCCGACATGGAAAGGGAAGCAAAGGGAGGAAGAAGTCTTCTTCCCAACTTCAGACAAGACCCCAAGAACCACCAGTCTGTCTTTGGGTCTAACAACGTTGTTGATCGCCCAGTTCAAGGCGTCCATGCCTGCTTCGCCGCGTTTTGTATCCATGGCGACGATGATGATGTTTTCTCCAGATGATGCACAGAACGCCGACGGTTCCAACATAAACTTCATCATCCTTAACTTTCTTCTCGTAGATCTCAGCTAAGCTTTATCAATTTTCTTCGATAATCTCCTTCCATTTGATGTTTTATTGCTTTGTTATAGTGCATGGACGAGGAATTACTTGCATGAGAGGTAAGACTTTGTTGGTTAGAAAATTGACACTAACTACAAAGTTTCAATTTTTATTTTTTTCTTCTAAAAGTTGTCTATTCATCTTCTTGATTTAATTAGATATGAATAATTTTGAATGATTTGTGATCACTTAAGATTACAAGATAGTCTTCATTACAATGCGTATTTAAGTAATGTGTGTTGACTTTAATATAAATCAAAGAATATATTAATTTAACAGAAAAATTCGTTACAAAAGAGTGAAGAGTTCGTTAAAAGTAATAAAATGGCTGTAATCATAGGTTGCCACGAACAACGATAACTTACAAGGATGCTCATTATTGGCTTGGTCGATAATTAAACATGTTAGGAACTTTGGACTTTGGGAACGACTTGGACGGCTGTTACTAGTTTCTTAGGCTGCAAAACGTGAAGATATTTATAGTTAAAACTAAAAAATAATCAGATATTTATAATTTTGGGAAAATGGCACTTTTTCCCCCTATGTTATATACTTATAGCACTTTTTCCCCCTCAATTATTTATGTAAGCACATTAGCCCCCTCAATTATTTTAAAAGTGGTGGTTTTCTCCCCTAATATATTAAATTGACATTTCTACCCTTAAAGTAAACATTTTATTTATTTTACTTCTCCAACAAATTATTGCGTATATGTAGCGATTACCACGATTTGGTTCGAACTGAACCAGACACTATAGCAATCGAATTAAAAGTTTTCAGTTATGATTCAGATTTAGAACTCAATATTTGGATTTCAATTTATTAAATTTAAGAATAAAAAAAAAAAAAAACTGGATCATGAACCGGCAGTTCCGGATCCCGTTCGCGATTTTGAACCGTCTTTATTTTAAAATTTTATTTTTTATTTTAAAATAGTTTAAATTCAACTATAAATGTATTTTATTTTTTCAGTTTGGAACATGAACCGGCCATTCCAGTTCGTGATTTTAATAAACTCTAAATATCGCGTTTTGATTATAAATTGTAATTGGAATATTTTGGTTTGGTTACCATAGTATCTGGTTTGAACCAAATTATAGTAATAATTTATTGGAGAATAAAAATAAATGAAATATTTATTTTAAGGGTAAATATGTCTATTTAACATTTCAGGGGGAAAAAGAGCCACTTAAATAATTGAGGGGGAAAAAGTGCTATAAGTATATAACATAGGGGGAAAAAGTGTCATTTTCCCTATAATTTTTTATTCACTACTAGGAAATTGTACATCGGTTACACTTGTATAAGTGTAGCGGCAGATGTGGGTGTCGCGGAAAAGTTCACTAGCACAAAATAACTAATTGTTACCTTGTACAAGGATCGTCGAAAGCCTTGGACCCTGTAGGTATCTTTCGTTGGGCTTGGATCTTATATATATCTTCGTCCAGGTCATCTAACTTAGGTCATTGATTTCATACTAGAATTAATAGAATACGATTTGTCACAATGTGGCAGCTGGCCTAAAATGCCCAAAATAGCATTTAAATTGCCATGGCAGCTTTGCCATGCATTGCTGCCATGGCTAAATTATATATGTTGCTTTTGCCCGGGCTGGGTCTGGATCGTGCCTGGGTCGATTAGGGTTCTGGGTCGTGCCTGAACTTGGGCTTGGGCTGGTTTTGAGCTGGGCCTCGAGTTTATTTTTTATAGGACCTGATGAATCAGTCCTCTACAAGTCGGTTCCAATTCAGGCTTAGCCTAGTGATGTCCAGACCCGCTTTTTCCTAGTCAATTCAGGGCTGGTTCAACCTTAAGTTGGTCCGTTGCCAGCTCTAGACGGTAACATGTTCGATTCTTATCAACACTTTTTTGGTGTCAAAAGATAAGATATTCACATAAAAAAATAAAATAAAATTACATAGTACACATTCTGATAATGATTATAGATTTCTCTGCCACTCCATCCACCCCTCCCAAAAAAAAAATTAAACAAGAGTACGATAGGGACTATGAACCACACGTTATCTTCCAGGTGTGGTAAATGGGCTGGTTGTAATATTAACGGCTTTTGTTGGCATTCCAAATTTCCAATTTGTTTTAAGAATACACTACCCGGACTCCGCTGCACTTTTTACTTCCGACTTTTATTTCTTCATACAAATTTTTGAATAAACACTTCTGCTGAGACCCACATAATAAAAATATCTTATCATTAGTTGTCACGTCATGGAGTAGAATTTGAGATACATGTAATAAAACTATTTGATTTATTAGCATATAATATTCAACCGTATAGTACGTACTTGCATGGGCATGCATCTATCTTCCTTCATAAATAGGGCAACCAAGTACATTGATTTTTTTTTTTTTATTTCTTTTATTGTTGAAAACAAATGCAAAAATCATACTTCCTCCGTCCCATTTTATGTGTCGGATTCAGTTAACCAGATTTGATTGAAGTTAAATCAAAAGTACTATTAAACATATATGTAAACTTTATATATTTAGAACCTAAATCAAAAGTACTATTAAACACACACACAAAAAAAAAATGTTAAAGTGTCATCCCGCACCATGAACTATTCTTGATTATTCATCCCGCAATATGATATTTAATAAGTGATATTTAGAGCCATAAATAATCATGAATGGTTCATGGTGCGGGATCACTTTAGCGCAAAAAAAATCAAATTTAAAAATGATAAGAAAATACTAATAGAAATAAGCAAAGAAGAAAAAAGTAGTGTCATATTTTCATAATATATATACTTATTAACTGAAGAGCAATACTATATGTATTCTAACTTTGTACTTACTTTTTACTCTTTTTTTTTTTTTTTTTATTTGACGTGTTTTGATTGATTTAGAAAAAAGAAATAACAATTTGTTTCTTCCTAAAAAAAATAAAGAAACTTATGTTGTTGGCCCTTTAATTATTTTAGATGTTAAAATGTAGTTTTTCTTATAAGGTAAACACATTTAGCCTATTAACTATGTTATTAGTTACATATATGGTCTTTTTACTTACAAAACAAATAAATCTTTGTTTCCCCTAACCTTATAGCAAAGCCATCTGTTGGGTTTCTAGGGAGGATTTTTGGGTGCCAACAAGGAGTGGGAGTTGGGAAAAAAATAAAAGAAAAGAAAGAAACCTTGAAAGTCTTGCTTTGATAGTTTGATGATAGGGAATGCAAAAAAAAAAAAAATAATAATAATAATAATAAAATAAAAAAAAAATTTGATCAAAGGTGAAGATGACTTCAACTTTTTATATGTGCCAGCTAGAACCGCAAATTTTATTTTTTTTTTTCATTTTGTTTTGTCCTTAAAAATTGTTAAAAGCCAACCCATTGCAATAAGGGTTGCGTTTTTTTTTTTGTTTTGTTTTGTTTTTTTTTTTTGTTTTTTGTTTTTTGTGTTTTTTGTGTTTTTGTGTGTGTGTGTATTTTATTTTATTTTATTTTTTTTTTTGATCTCTAATTCACCACATTTGGTTTATTGTGGGCAATGCAACCTCATCAAGGGATTTTTAGATAAATTGGTTGAATTGGTAATTTCACGTACACATCATTTTTCCTTCCATTCCCAATACACCATTAGACACTTAGACGGTGGGAAAGAATGAAAAATGTTGTGCAAAATTACCAAAGCAACCATCTTTAACATCAGAAGAAATAATAAAATATTTATTAAAAAAAAAACTAATCAGGTGCGGGGAGGGCTTCCCGTGCGGGTGGACGCACATTAAGCATTAAACTGACGCACTTTAAGTACACAACACACACACATTAAACACACAAATTAAACAAAACACCTTAAGCGCAAAACTAACACACCTTAAGCACAAAACTCATGCACCTTAAGTTTCAATAACTACTCACATTAAGAACACAAATCTCACGCACATTAAGCACAGAACACAAGCACCTGGCCTTAAGCACAAACTCACGCACTTCAAGTACAAAATTCACGCACCTTAAGCACAAAACTCATGCACCTTAAGTTTCAACACTACTCAAAGTACACACACCTTAAGCACAAAACTCACGCACCTTAAACACAAACTCACGCACCTTAAGTACAAAACTCACACACATTAAAATCACACAACTGCACCGAAAACATTCACCCACACGAGAACTTTTATATATATATATATATATATATATATATATATATATATATATATATTATGTGTGTGTGTGTGTAATTAATTGACTTTAAAAGGTTAGATTGATTAATCACTTTCAGAACGAAATGCTATGTGTGTGTATCTACAATCTATACAAATCTACAATTCTAATAAGAGCGAATAATGTTAGGCCCTTAATTGGAATAAAAAAAATGTCGGTACTAATTGTTTCTTAAAATGAATGGTTCATATTATTTTGATTTTAGTATTTTTAATGATTTTCCTTATTTACCCTTTATTATATTATTTTATTTCCTTAAATAACCTTAAATTCCGTTAGTATAAACTTTATTAACGGAATATTCCGTTAACTATTTATTATTCTTAACTTATTAATTTCTATAAAAAAGATCTTAAGTTCGAACCTCATTCCAATTAGAGTTAGCATAATTGTTAAACATATACTACGAATGTGTTAAAATGTATTAAAAATATAATATAAAATTTAACATAATTTTGGTCAAATAATTAGTCCAACTAAATACATAGCATATAAATCAGGAACTTTGAAAATCATTTGTTTTTTTCATTAAAAAAAAGAATAAATTTAAGTTTAGTTTTTTTTTTCGTTTAATTAATTTTCTTTTGATTATTGAGAACAAAACTTAATATTTCAATTATGCTTTTATCGATGCATGAAAACTTCTAAAGAAATTTGTAAATTAATTTTTACTATATTATTATAATAATATCTATTGTAACCATATATTTTGATTTATTTATTATCATCATCTATTGACAGCAATTCTCATTGACAAACTCTCAAAACAATTTGTCTCAACAACGAATAATGGAAATAAAAAAAAATCAATGATTTCATTATTGTCGATGAAAAGTATGTAGCCACTTTATTCAATCGTTATGTTGTGGAACTGTGTCCACCTTGCAATGTGGACACGATTCTATGTTCATAATTACTGAATTATATGTTTATAATTATAAAGTCATATATTTATAATTTTTGAGCTTCATATTCATAATTATTGAACTCTATATTCACAATTATTGAACTCTATATTCACAATTACTGAATTATATGTTCATAATTATAAAGGTATATATTCATAATTTTTTAACTTCATATTCACAATTATTGAATCTCTATATTCATAATTACATAACTATATGTTCACAATTATGTTCACAACTCTATGTTCATAATTATAGAACTATATGTTTATAATTTTTGAACTATATATTCATAATTATGAACAGTTTTAGAACCATGTCCACCTTGCAAGGTGGACACAGTTCCATAGCATAATTTGCCCACTTTATTGCTCTTATTACTTAAATTTAAAAATAAATTAGTAGCTACAACAAAAAATAATACATATGCATTTAATTAATTTAGAATTAGATGTCTCACAACACATGAAGCATGTAGGGAAAAACTACCACTATTAAATATCAACATGTGCTTGTAAGATAAAGAGTTCATAGCACAACTAAGATCTCAGTCATATACACAACAAGACAAATCTAAAACATCATACACCATAATCTCATTGCATGATGAATCCCTCTATGATACCACCAATAACTCAATTGCACATGACACACTACCAATAACAGAAAAAAGGACATTTACTGAAGATGAAAACAATAACAATGCTACCCAAAAGAGAATTAGAAATTTAAACAAAAAAGAGTATTTAGTTACTATCACTTTTAGACTTAGTACATAGATTAATGTTATTACAAAGTTGCAAACATTTATTTTTGTGACAGTTATATATAATCAATCTCTCATATATTATCTTGCATTTATATACTTTAAATTACCGATTTAAATAAACAAATTCAACATTTATTTACTTATGCATGAACATCTTCTATATAATATTGCATTGATATACTTTGAAATACTTATTTAAAAATAAGTATTGGGCATTATCCTATTCGCGCAAAGCGCGTAGAATACAAATCTAATAAGAGCGAATAATGTTAGGCCCTTAACTGGAACAAAAAAAAATGTCGGTACTAATTGTTTCTTAAAATGAATGGTTCATATTATTTTGATTTTAGTATCTTTTAATGATTTTTCTTATTTACCCTCTATTATATTATTTTCTTCTCTTAAATAACCCTAAATTCCGTTAGTTTAAACTTTAGTAACGGAATATTCCGTTAACTATTTATTATTCTTAACATACTCTTAATTTATATAAGGTCTTATGTTCGAACCTCATCCCAATTATAATTGACATAATTATTAAACATATATTATGAATATGTTAAAATGTATTTAAAAAAATATATAATATAAAATTTAACATAAACTTTGGTCAAATAATTAGCTCGACTAAATACATAGCATTCAAAGTTGAGCATCACATATTATAAATCAGGAACTACTTTAAAATTATTTGATTTTCTTGAATTTTTTGTATTAAAAAAAAACAAATTTATGTTAAGTTTTTTTTTTTTTTTTTTTAAATTAATCTTCTTCTGATTATTTAGAACAAAACTTAATATTTCAATTATGCTTTTGCATTATTGGAATGATTTAGGCCATTATGGTATTAATATTTTTTTGTATTTTTTTTTATAATAGTACAATTGTACATTACATTACTAATATTATACTATTATTTTTTTTTATCGGACAATGTTCTTACATCATTGTCAGACCTGTGCGGCCTAACTACAAAGTTGTTGATCATAAATACAATTACACATAGACTCTAAAACGGTAGGATCATTTTTCAAATAATTGACAATGTTAACATCCTACTAGCTCCAATTGAATAAGTTTACACATCAAAATTTTATCAATGCATGAAAACTTTTAAAAAAAATTTGTAAGTTAATTTTTACTATATCATTATATTAATATCTATTGTAACCATATATTTTGAATTATTTATTATCATCCTCTATTAACAGCAATTGTAGCAATTGTTATGGACAAACTCACAAAACAATGTCTCAACAAGGAATGGAAATTTAAAAAAAAAAAATCATTGATTTCATTATTGTTGAAGAAAAGTATGTACGACACTTTGTTACTCTTATTAATTAAATAAATTAGTAGCTACAACAAAAAATAATACATATGCCCCATTTAATTAATTTAAAATTAGATGTCTATAATGCTTTATTTAAAAAAAAATTATTCATTATAAAAAAATTTAAAAGAAATATAATTTCATTAGTTATATTATCTTTATTTTCTACAATTCAAAGATTCCTTACCTTCAAATTTATTAATTTATTATATTCACTACATTGTTCATTGTCTTCTTTTTTACATTATCTTGTAATTAAATATCAAAGTTATAATACAAAACATGTTATATATATATATATATATATATATATATATATATATATATATATATATATATATATTTATTACCAAGTATTTTATACAAATATAATAAATATTAATATTTCGTTCAATACTTTCACATGATAACCTGCGACACACATCTCACAACACATGAAACATGTAGGAAAAAAACTACCACTACTAAATATCAATAGGTGTTTGTACGCTAAAGAGTTCATATTACAACTAAAATCTCAGTCATATACACAGCAAGGTAAATCTAAAACTTCCTACACCATAATCTCATTGCAAGATGAATCCCTCTATGCTGCTACCAGTAACCTAATTGCACATGAAACACTACCAATAAAAAAACAAAAAAAAAAAAAAGAAAAAAAAAGAGGACATGTACTGAAGATGAAAACAATAACAATGCTACCCAAAAAAGAATTAAGAAGAACTAGAGAAATTTAAACCAAAAGTAGTATTTATTTAGACTATTGCTTTAAAACTAAGTATTTAGACTAGCGTTATTACAAAGTTGCAAACATTTATTTTAGTGACAATTATAATCAATCTCTCATATATTATCTTGCATTTATATACTTTAAATTACCGATTTAAATAAACAAATTAAACATTTATTTACATATGCATGAACATCTCCTATATAATATTGTATTGATATACTTTGAAATACATATTTAAAAATAATTATTGGGCATTATCTCATTCGCACAAAGTGCATAAAAAAACTAGTACATATATGTATATGGAATATTTTTGAACGCTTCAATTCCACAGTTCCTCTATATGGAAATATGGAATGGGCACCCATATAAACCATTAGCTGGCTTCCCTTTTTGATTTCACGTGACAACATAATAGAAGTATAGAACAAGACAACGTGCCACCTGGGATGGTCCACTAACCATGCAATATCTTCAATATGTGGCTGACAGAATGGTTGGCAGCTGAGTTTGACAGATTACCAGTTCTGATTTTTTTTTTTTAATATTATTTTTAATACATGATGATTGCTCGACTTAGCGAGGTTAAATTAATCATAGCTTCCAGTCTCTCGCTCCAAAAATTACTAAAGAATATAAATCTAAATGGTATGAGCAGTCTTTCAGTTAGTCATGTCTTTCTATGCATACAAGGAACTCATCAACCCACACTCTACTTCAACCCGGGGCTGGGGAGCCAACGACTCAAATAATGTTTGAAGTGAGGTTTTAACTCTCATCTAGCTTGCCGTCTCTCGTGATGACTTGAGTCATGATGTAATCAATTACTATACTACTTCCGGGGACTACCAATTGATTTTGGATGATTACGAGGAAAATTGACAATCAATATGTGATGGTGTGCATCGTGAAAATCTGATTTGTATATAATAATCAACAAAACTAAGTAAAAATAAAATAAATTATACTAAAAATATCTTATGCTACAAACTCGCTACTAATTCAATAATTCCATTGAACCACGCGTAATTCAAACCATGCATGAGCATGCATATCTATCTTCCTCTATAAATATGGCGACGAAGTTGCCCACAGTCTATACGACCAACATTAACAAAATATCTTTCATTTCCTTGAAAATTTTACATCTGATCTGTGAGTCTGTCGTTTAAGGTTTAAAGAGTTTTATTTTACTAATTCTTTGAACATCAATATAATGGAGCTGAACTTAGCACCCCAAATGCCTGACCAAACCGTTTCTGAAGGAGAGGGCGGGGGATACTACACTTGGTCCATTTCCGCCGTCCCTTTTCTCGGCCAGGCAAAGCTTGCCGCCGGCAAGCTCGTTCTGCAACCTCTTGGCTTTGCCCTCCCTCACTACGCGGATTTCAAGAAGATCGGCTTCGTTCTTCAAGGTATATAATACATAGACTAATTCAGTCAAATCTCAATTTAACTATTTATTGTAGTGTAGTAGTTAATCATAAGAAAATAATAATGTAGTGCAATATTCGTAACACAGTCTATATGGGTAACTTAGTTGGACAGATGCTGACTTGCCGTGTAAAAGTTACATCCAAATATCCAATGTGGTGATCGAGCTCTTTGAGGACATCAAACATTTGTCGCCCCACCTAATGGATGACTAAGTTTATAATTTATCTCTCATCTTGTATGATCGGAATGTGAGAGTTTAGGGAAGAAAATTTTGGCCATATTTAGTAAAATAGTTAGTATATCAGTCAATTTTTATTTATTTGACCACTATTAATTGTTTGATTTGATTAAAAAATCAATATAAGTGTTTGGTTAATTAGCTTAATACTAAAATTCTAAAAGCTACTCATCAAAAACTTTTTCAATTAACTTTTTAAAAAATAAATTATACCAAACAGCTATCAGCTAACAGCTGAATTTATGCAAACACATTTCTACAATCACACCTAATATTATCAACTAGTTATACCTTCTAATTAACTCAATCAGCTAGCAGCTAATTAACAACTATTTACCAAACACAACTTTGTCTTTTGTGTATGGTCAAGTTTACATCACGCAGTTATGGTTTCTATGGTTGCAGGAAGTTGCGTGGTCGGAATGATATCTCCGAACAGTACCACCGAGAATGTAGTCAAAGTCACGAAAGGTGATGCGATTCCGGTGGAGTTAGGAGCCGTGACGTGGTGGTACAACGACGGAGACTCCGACGTGATCGTAGTATTCTTGGGAGAAACCACCGACTCCAATCCTCTCGGCCCGTCCAACTACTACTTCCTCGCCGGAGCTCTGGGCATGCTCGGTGGTTTCTCCGCCGATTTTCTCGCCGGAGGTTTCGGTATATCCGTGAGTGAATCCAAAACCCTATTCAAAACCCAAAACGCCACCGTCATTACCAAACTCAAAGAAAAACTTAACATCACAAACCCCCCAAACAATAACCGAAAAGATTTGGTGTTCAATCTTGAGAATGCGTTACCTCCCGTCAACGCCAATAACGGCGGATCTCTGGTTTCCGCCACGGCGGAGAATTTCCCTTTGCTCAGCCGCGTTAACCTAAGCGGGAACCTCGTAAAGCTCGAACCTGGCTCCATGTTAACTCCGGGATACACGGCAGATTCCTCGTACGAGCTAGGTTATGTCGCGAGTGGCAGCGCTCGGATTCAGATTGTCGGCCTTAACGGTCAAATGGTTTTGGACGACAAAGTTGCGGCCGGCCGCCTCTTTGTCTTGCCCAAATTCTTTGTTGGTTCACTCATAGCCGATACAGAAGGAATCGAGTTTGTCTCTACAGTGACGTCTGCAGAGTGAGTAGTTAACGGTGCCGTTATTCTAGTCTAGTCTTAACGGTCCCATTTGAATAACTCTGTTTATTTCTTTACAGGCCAAAGTTACGGCGTTTAGCTGGGGTTGAATCAGTTTGGAAAGCTTTATCCCCATCAATCCTACAAGCATCCCTAAATCTCAGTACGGAGGAAACGGAAATTTTCAAGGCCAAGATAGTGGAAACCGCAGCAATTATCCCTTCCAATAATAATTGATCAATGTACTGTCTAAATTAAAAATAAATGGCCATGCATGTAATTTTCGAGTAGTATGTTATAAACCCGAGTTAACCACTGAGTTGACTTGATAATCACCATATTTTAAGTTCGCCATATTGTCATCTTTGTATTGAGCCAATTAGGCTCTCTAATAGCTTCACCTATAATGGTTGTGGATTATATTAAAGTTTTTTTGGAGGGCTTAGCTTATTTGTACTTGAAAAATTTTATGACTGTCTACGATGCTTGATCGGTTGAGACTTTACTTTTGCGACTTAGCTTATCAGTGGTCAAATTTGCAATGTGGACCATGGTACATCGTATAATGATTGATTTCCAATTAGTCGTTGGTTGTCGCGGCTCTTCACACTCAGAGTGTAGTTTCCTTGTTTATAGATGTGATTAATGTGAGTAGTTGTTGACACTTAATGTGCGTGTTTTCTTTTTAAGATGTATTGTTTTCCTTCTTAAGGATCGTGATTTGTATGCTTAAGGTGCGTCAGTTGTGTGAAACTTAATAAGGTGCATGAACCATTTTAAAACTTTAGGTGCATGGTTTGTGTTCTTAAAGTGCTTTGTTGTGTGCTTAAGGTGCGTGATTTGTGTTCTTAATGTGCGTGATTTGTGTTTTTTAAGGTGTTTTGTTCGTGTGCTTAATGTGTGTGATTTGTGTACTTAAGGTGCACCATTTTAATGCTTAAGGTACGTCCTTCGCACAACCGCACGGGAACCCTTCCCCACACCTGAACCCTTCCCTATATACACAAACATACCAAAATAATGATGTTTTGATTTTTAAAGAAATGTGTGGTCCACTTGCTCCATTGTTGGAAAATTTTACTATGGACCACGGTCTATGACTCTATGTAGCACCATGATCGAACCATGAAGTATGTATCATTACTTCAGTTTCATTTAACAATATTGCTATGTTTTTTTTTAGTTTCATTTTCCTTCCACGCTGGTTTTATTATAGCAATACTAAAGTATCATTTTAATTTTACTATACTTTCATTTGATAATATACATTATTGATTGAGTTCTATTTTTTTGTTTCATTTTCCACACACTATTTTAATTATAGTAATGTTGAAGTATTATTTTAATTGCACTTCAGGTCATTTGACAATATATGTTATTGTATGGCTTTGAATTTTAGTTTCGTTTTCTATGCACACTAGTTTCATTATAGTAATACTAAAGCATTATTATGCTATAGTTTCATTTGTCAATAATGTACTCTATTTTTTTAGTTTCATTTTTCACACACATTAGTTTCATTATAGTAACACTAAAGTATCATTTTAATTATATTACAGTTTCATTCGACGATCATGGTCCATACAATGATGTGTGGACCAGGGGCGAATCCATATTCTTTTTTAAGTCATGGGCGAAAGATTAATTCAAAAGAGATAGTTTGGAAAAAAAAAAAACACTTAAAAGCATAGCCATAAATATTGTTAGATATGAGTGAAAAATCAAAACACATCAAAACTTTATATAAAAAAAATATTTATACCAAAATATGAAACATAATTAGTTTGATAAAATGATTCAAATAAAAAACAGATTATAAATTATACATCTCACTATCACTATTAATATAAAAGAATGCTTGCACATATTATATTTTAAAGAATAAAAATAAAAGTATCACTATTAATATTTCTAAAAAGACAAAAAAAATGTAAAAATACCATGGGAACAATGAGAATCAAACCTTTAACATTTTCTAAATTAAAGTCATAACTTACCATCTCATCTAACTCAATTTTTGCTTACTTGTATATATATAATTTATTTATCTCTAAATCTCTAATCATGCAAAATATATATATATATATATATATATATATATATATATATATATATATATATATATATATATAGAGAGAGAGAGAGAGAGAGAGAGAGAGAGGGAGAATAAGGCTCATATGCGGCAGTGGCTTTAGGTGCGGCGGTGCGGCCATATCAGCATCGTCCATTCTGCTTAATCTAACGCCAGCGGCAAATTTCTGAAGATTTAAAGATTTAAGCGCGTCCTGGTAAGTGGGGGATGTTATGATAATTGTAGTGGTCATTTATATCGGTCGCTTGTCAGTATACACCAACAGTGTATACAAAAGACACCAATAGTGTTAGGAAAAAACACCACAATGAAATGCACAAATACACCAAAAAACACACAACACACCTAAAAAATACACCATATAACTCACCACCCCAATGGTGTATTTTTGAACATTGTGTGATGCTTTTATTCATACCTAGTGGTGCGTTCTGGTGATGCGTATCTAATTTGTGCATGTTTTTTTGGTGTGCATTTTCTAACATGGATGGTGTATATTTGTGTAACTATTAGTGCGGTGCTCGGGAAGGCACCAACACGAATTATCAAATACACCACAGTAAGGTTAATAAAGCACCAATAACGAACATAAAACACACAACACTATGATTTGATCTATTCTGGTGCTAAATGACGACTTTAACCTTGCAGTTCGCGTAGTGTGAGAACGCGCGCGAAAATATCGAAAAAGCCTGGATGAATGTGATTGGTTGGATTCATCTAATCTAATGACTTACAATTAACTGCACCGCCGCACCTAAGTGCACTGCCGCACTTGAACCTTCCCCTCTCTCTCTCTCTCTCTCTCTCTCTCTATATATATATATATATATATATATATATATATATATATATATATATATACACACACACAGACAAGGTGTACTATATATGGAGGTGGAGGTGAAGAGAAGGTAGCAGCTGCCCCACTGCTCCCACCATAGCTCTGCCCATGACATGGACAATGGTGCATTGTATACCAACTGCTCCCATGCTACGCGTATGGAGAAATTGTGTCCAATTCAGCAATAAAAGTTCTAAGCTAGCTAGCGTACACGTAAATTCATAATTTTAAAAAGTCAGACATGCTCACATGCATGATTATATTTGTATGACATTTTTGTTAAAAGTTAAAGTCTCACGCTAGACCAAATTTTCTTAGTTGCATCAATTAGTCATGTTTGGAAATAACGTGAAGATATCATCGATCATATTTCAAAGCCAACCATTGACAATTAAATTCATAACAACACTGTTATAAGCTCTGATCTATTTTTAATGTACAATGTACTGAAGAGATCGACTGGATAGATAGAGAAAGAATCGAAAGGTGGAATTGTTTTTATTAAAAATGATAAATATACAATTATTGTAAATTTTGAAATACAACTACGATTTTTATTTCATATAATAATAATAATAATAATAATAATAATAATAATAATAATAATAATAATAATAATAATAATAATAATAATATAGTGATAAAATAAATATTTACATCAACAAGAATCAAACGTACATGCTGAATAAAGGAACATTCAAGTAATATTCAATTATTTCCGGCCATGGTGTTGATGGAGTGAAAAAAAAAAAAGAATATCAAATAGGGTTTGAAATAAGAATAACTATGGATCGGAGACAGGAGTGATTATATCCATCGTTCAACCCAATTCTATACTTAATACTTTCACCCTGACTTGCGCAAATTATGCAGTGGACTCGTGTCCACAATGCATTGTGGACACGAGTCCAAAATGACGTCGTTTTTAGGGAAAACATGCCATTTCAATCAAAAAAAAAATTGATTTTGTCTCGCCGTTAACGGCGTTATTCGTTTGTGTCATTATGAATGTACATTTATGGGATTATGAATGTACAATATGAAATTATGAATGTACAGTTATGAAAGTATAAATGTAAGTTATAAAATTATGAACACAGAGCTCTGACATTATGAACTTACAATTATGAACATATAGTGATAAAATTATGAACATAGAGCTCTAAAATTGTGAACATCGAGCTTTGAAAATTATGATTTTACAGTTATTGAATTATGAATGTACAGTTACGGAATTATGAATGTACAGTTATGCAATTATGAATGTACGGTTATGAAATTATGAACACCGGGCTCTGACATTATGAACTTACAATATGAACATATAGTGATAAAATTATGAACATAGAGCTTCGAAAATTATGAAGTTACAGTTATTGAATTATGAATGTACAGTTACGGAATTATGAATGTACAGTTATGGAAGTATGAATTTACAGTTATGGAATTATGAACATAGAGCTCTGAAATTATGAATTTACAATTATGAACATATAGTAATAAAATTATGAACATATACTCCTATAACGAAGCGGTCTGAAATTAAAAAAAAAAAAAAAAGAAGAAAAAGAAGAAGAAGAAGATAACAGTGCCTAACAGCACTGCATGCTGGACACGGGTTCATAACACAACGATTGCCTGACTTGTACCGGTGGACTTTTTCAAAATTCACCACAACCCACCGTATATATGTGAGTACTATACCCACTAGGCCACTATACCATGCATCTAACCATCACTTATTGTCTTATTAAAAAAAAATTAAAATAATAATATTTAAATGATTTATACACAATAAAAGAGTTTTTTCCACTTTTGGTCCTATGACTTTAGTGCCTCCGTCAATTTAGGTTCACAACTTTCGTTCCTGACATAAGTAGTGCTAGACTTTAATTTTTTTTCCACTTTTAGTCCTTCCAGTCATCTGAGCGACTACTTTTAATCGGAATAAATAAATTGTTATTTATATTTAGATTTAAGAGGGGTAAATAAGTCATTTACCATCTCTTAAAAAATAAACAAAAGAAAAATAAAAATAAAATTAAGTTATGTAATTATCCTCTTCTTCCCGTATCTTCTCCCTCTCTTACTGTAAGCGCACATACGGCTCTAGTTCATGTATTTTTGGGATTATAGCCATGCGGGGCTTTCTGATCAAGGAGACACAGTTTATGGAGTCTTGAAGAAGAAGAAGAAGAAGAAGAAGAAGAAGAAGAAGAAGAAGAAGAAGAAGAAGAGGGTTTGACGAGCTCTCTTAATACTGTTTCAACTTTCATGATCGCCATTTCCAATGCGCCTTAGCTCTCACCATATCGTTCCAATATATACAAAAATACTGGAATGATACTAGAAGCATTACTTAAAGTCTCAAAAGCTTCTTGAGTGATAGTAACAAAGATCTCAAACCCGCACTTGATGTTATTATTATTGGGCAATCCTGTACTGGGCGACCAGAACCCATTTCCGGTCGAGTTACAGTTCAAGAGGTTGGAAACCAATGAAACCGGGATGTAACGTAGAACAAGGAGATGTTCTTGTCGCCAGGAGAAGCGTAGCTGAAGAGGTTGAAGTCCAAGGATACGTTCCGAGGATTGGAGGAAGTATATTTCAGTCTATTGCAATGGTGGACAGGGGATCCAAAAATACATGAACCAGAGCCGTCCATTAAGAGAGGGAGAAGATACGGGAAGAAGAAGATAATTACATAGCTTGATTTTATTTTTATTTTTCTTTTGTTTATTTTTTAAGAGATGGTAAATGACTTATTTACCCCTCTTAAATCTAAATATAAATGACAATTTATTTATTCCGATTAAAAGTAGTCATTCAGATGACCGGAAGGACTAAAAGTGGAAAAAAAATCAAAGTCAAGCACTACTTATGTCAGGAACGAAAGTTGTGAACCTAAATTGACGGAGGCACTAAAGTCATAGGATCAAAAGTGGAAAAAACTCCACAATAAAATTCACTAGTTACATATATTAAAACATAAAATAATAATAATAATATTTGGTTAGACGGGTGTTTAGAGGGGTCTAAGTCTAACATTAGAAGATATTTCATGTATTTATTTTGTTCTACATGCAATGCATATTTGAAATTTTATTTTTAGAGTGCCACCGTTGTCGGCAAATGACAATAAGATAAATGAGTTTAAATTATCTATATATAACTGATTAGTTCAAATCAAAAAAGTTAATAAACTACCTTCACTGAAATATCTCGTGTCAAACTTATTTTCAAAACTAATAATTTGATCCACTCGTGTGAAAGTTATGTTCGATATTTGCTTCAGGTATGAAAAGTGTGACAATAGGACTGCCCATCCTTATCCTCTTTGCGTGTTGCTCGAAATATCTTTTAAAATCCAGCAATTATAGTTTGGACCGCCATCCACAAAGCTTTGTGAACCATGATCCAAAAGGACAGACACTATAGTGTATCTAAACTGACACTGTCTCATGTATTATTTTTTATTATATTATCAAATAAAACTGCATGATTGAATTGAAATGAAACTGCATTGTATACATAATGAAACTGAATAATAATTTCACATATCTGAGTGTATATTGTCCACCGAAACTGTAGTTATATTAAAATGATATTGTAGTTCTGTTAAAATGAAACTGCAGTATATATTTAATGTTTGGACCATAATGCATTGTAGATCGCGGTCCACCGTATAATTTGACTTTAAAATCTTACCCCACAAAATGTTGTCTTGTAGGAACTCGATTGTTTGTTGACTGTTGCGTGTGTAACGTTCTCTCAATGGAAAGCCACGGATTTAACTTTAAATATATATCCAAGCTATGATTGAATTAAGGGGTTAGATTCATTGCTTTCAAGATGTGATAGATAGAGTAAAAGACATTTTTGGTCCTACACTTATAGTGGCACGAAAAATTTTGGTCTTCCATAAAAAATTTTGTCATTTTATGGTCAGACTTATTGTGACGAGGACATTTTTGGTCCTTCATCCATACATCCGTTAAATGACCATGTAAGTGAGGGATAATCGTGTCATTTCATGTTATTTTCTTCTCTATATTTCATCCTTGTCTGTTTTGTTCTTGATTTCAGAATCGTAATTTTCTCCATTTTCTCGCGATTGAAGCGATGAGTATTTTGACGCATACTTTGCGAGTTTCTCTTCACCGTCGCCACGGTGATGGTAGATTGGTAGTGGCCGTGTGGTGAAGGAACGGGATCCACTCCAGCGAATTGACGTAATTGCCCTCCTCTTAAATGGCCATTTAACAGAATTACAAACGAAAAGCCAAAAATATCCTCGTCACAATAAGTCTATCCATAAAATGACAAAATTTTTTATAAAGGACTAAAATTGTCCGTACCACAAGTCTGACCAAAAATGTCTTTTAATAGATATTACCCAGATGGACGTGGCCCACGGACCACCAAAATAGATATTTTGGTGAGAGGTTCGGTGGGTATTTTGATTTTTGATGGCCTCCCAATTTTGAACAGTGGAATTACTGAGCACAAGTTACGTACGTACTCCAACCATGGCATGCATGCATCTTTCTCTATAAATATGGCGACGAAGTTGTCTACACTGTGCAGTACAACTCATACAACCAACAACAAGAAAACATCTTTCATTTCCTCGTCCAATATACACATCTATCTGTTTAAGGTTTCAAGAGTTTCCTTCTTTGATCATCAATGGAGTTGAACTTGGCACCACAAATGGCTGACCAAACCGTTTATGAAGGAGAGGGTGGTGGATACTACACTTGGTCCACTTCCGTCGCACCACAAATCGCCCCTTTTCTTGGGGTTTTGTCCCTTATTAGGTAAAGAGAGATACCAACGGTCACTATTTGTGGGTTTGCAAAGTAAACCTCCCCCTTATGACTTTAGTCCATAAACGACCACACAAAGATAAACCAACTTAGATTACCATAGTTGATTGACTCAAACAAAAAAGTAAAGCTATTAGTATAGACTACTATTGACTTTATTACAAGGTAGTATAACATTTTTTCTATCGGTTAATTAGATCCCAATGAGTCAATATTCCACTATCCGAGTTAGATCATGTGACCTGAAGAAAGAGCCACGGAGCTATTATTTGAGCACAAAGTGTTTGGCCTATTAGACTATTTTAATTGAGAATTAAACTTGAAATCTCGTGATTAATCAAGCCAACAAGTTAACTAACTTGGGTGGAATTGCTCCAGTACTTCTCTCTTAACATATTGCGTTGTAATTTGTATTCTGCGGGATGAAACTTATGAATGGTTAATATAATAATCGTATTGCATGCAGGGTGTTGCGTGGTCGGAGTGATATCTCCGGACAGCACCACCGAGAAGGTAGTCAAAGTCACGAAAGGTGATGCGATTCCGGTGGAATTAGGAGCCGTGTCGTGGTGGTACAACGACGGAGACTCCGACGTGGTCGTAGTATTCTTGGGAGAAACCTCCGACTCCAACACTGCCGGCCCGTTCAACTACTACTTCCTGGCCGGAGCTCTGGGCATGCTCGGTGGTTTCTCACCTGATTTTCTCGCCAGAGGTTTCGGCATATCCGTAAGTGAATCCAAAACGCTATTCAAAACCCAAAACGCTACCGTAATTACCAAACTCAAAGCCAAACTGAACATCTCCGACCTCGTAAACAACAACCCGTACCGGAATGAGATGGTATTCAACCTCAAGAATGCGTTGCCTTCTGTCAACGTCAAGGACGGCGGGTCTCTGGTTTCCGCCACGGCTGAGAATTTCCCTTTGCTCAGCCGCGTTAACCTAAGCGGGAACCTCGTAAAACTCGAATCTGGCGCCATGTTAACTCCGGGATACACGGCAGATTCCTCGTACGAAATAGGTTATGTCGCGAGTGGCAGTGCTCGGATTCAGATTGTCGGCCTTAATGGTCAACTGGCTTTGGACGACAGAGTTGAGGCCGGCCACGTATTTGTCTTGCCCAAATTCTTTGTCGGTTCACTCATAGCTGATACAGAAGGAATCGAGTTTGTGTCAACAGTGACATCTTCAGAGTGAGTAATTAATATTAGTAAGCATTAAACACAAATTCTAATTATTTTTTTTTGCTTCCTTCTTCTCCCAAAAAGGTTAAATCCTCAGTCCTAATGGCTCCCATATCTCGGCTTGATAGAATATTTGGGATGATGTAAATCAAGATGACTCAAAGAGATCTGTCCCAGATGACCCGGCCAAATGCTGGTGCGCACAAGAGATCTGTCCACTTTGGACATAATCTGCACACGGCGGCCACCAAAATTCGAACCTTAATTTTTTTTTCTCAAATACTGCTTGAACCATTAAACTAAGTCCGTATATGTAATATTTACTTCCTGACGCTATGGGCCCACACTCTAACCTGACAAGATGGGTGACTCAAGGGTTCATAAATTTTTTAGGTGACTAAATTTATTTAGTTATAAACCTGATTTAATTATCAACCCTCTCTATTTTCTCTTTACAGGCCAAAATTACTGCGTTTAGCTGGGGTTGAATCAGTTTGGAAAGCTTTATCTCCTTCAGTCCTACAAGCATCCCTAAATCTCAGTACGGAGGACACAGACATTTTCAAGGACAAGATAGTGGAAACCACAGCAATTATCCCTCCCAAGAAGCATTAGACTTTTGGGTTTATTTGCATACATTTTTAATTAAGTTGGTCTATAAGTACGGTCTAAGTTAATTAAGATAAATGGTGAAATTTGTTATGTAATTTTACAGTATGTGATGTCTCTTTCTGGGTAGAGATTTGGATGTGAATCTCATTACCCATCTTTATCAATGTACTCAAATTATTTGCTTTTATTTTGGTTATCTTTTCTCAAAATGTTCAAATAGTCTCTCAAACTTTAGCTGAAAAGTCAAACATTCTAAACATTTTAAAAGCGCAATTACACCCATTAACAATTTATTTTGATACAATGAAACGCAAAAACCGGTTAATGACTTGCTATCACAGGTCATTATGGTTTTGACAACCCGTCGACGAGATTCCGACGAAATTTATAGCAAGACCAGCGAACAATTGTCGGTCACGGTCGCCTTCTCATCGAAGAAGGCAACCACAATGGTCAATTTTTATATAGTGAACCGTGGTCCACAATGTTGTGTTAACCATGGTCATCAAATTTATATTGTCAAATGAAATTGTAGTATAATTAAATTGATACTTTGCCAATGATCTTGTGGTTGAGTGGCATAAAGTGATTCTCCTAAATAGGAGGTCATGGTTTCAAACCTTAATGGAGGCGATATTGATTTTTTATATTTCAATTGATTTTTTACCCGCACGGGCTTAGCTCAATGGTTTAGTGAGCAGTATTTGGGGAAAGAGACCAAGGTTTGAACCTTGGCGGCGGCAGTGTGGGAATTATTATGTCCAAAGTGGACAGATTCATTGTGCGCACCGGCATTTGGTCCTGCCTACTAACCCATTGAGTCACCGTGATTTACATCCTCTCATATGCTCTCTCGGGTGAGAGTGTGTGGGGCACTTAGGGTTGGGGATTCAGTCTTTTGGGGTAAGTATTCTTTTGGCTGAATGTACTACATGGACCCCGGCCCACAGTAACATTTGCCTTTGGTGATGGGCTGGTTAGCAGAGTTTGGGCCTGTGGGGAGTTAGTAATGGGCTTGGGTGTGGCAGATTTTTTTTGGGGCCAAGTAGGCAAGCAGGGTATGGGCCGGGTGACGGTGGCTTAAGACTTGTCAGTTGACAGTAACGGAGGAGTAGCTGCAGCAGTGCCTCCGCGAGCGACGGAAGGGGAAGGAAGATATGTTTTCCGGGAGCTTTACAAGCCTCTCCTTTCTCTCTCCTTCATCCACACTCGCTCGTTCGCTTCTTCCCGGAGTTACTGCCTTTCACGTTCCTCGCCGCTCCTTCTCTGTCTCCCCTAGTTCCCACAGTTTTCGACTCCAAAACAATGCATTTCGGCCGGAGAATTGGACGCGCAACTACTCTACTGCCGCTTTGCCTTTTGACCTCTCACCACCGCCCATCGACCACGACCTTATCGTAAGTCTCCGTATCCTGAAACACTAAGTATACGGTTTTACGTACGCAGAGAAGCAGTTTATTGATTTTTCCGTAATCATTAATGTTTTCCAAGGCATTAAACTGAAGAATTGCCTTGACAATTGAACAGTCATGCTGGATAATTGTAATCTCTTTTGAGCAAGGACTATGCTAATTTGGAAAGGAATAACTGAGAGTCTAGTTCACAATTTTCATCAAGCTTTTGAATAAATCGATTGATTTGGCAGTATTAAACTTGACATTTTCATGGTAGTAGGCACGCTACACACTGACAGATTAATCTTAGGTATCGTTTAGAAGGCTTTCTATGCTAGGACGTAGGAGAGGAAATCTTTGGTGCAGAAGAACATGGAGCTTTGTTGCTGTTAGTTGTTACATGCTCTTTTATTAAGCTGATATACTCTTTATTTTGCTTGACATTCAATTACTTTATGTACTTTATAGGATACTATGAAAGTTGCTGGTGCAAAGGTATTAGAGGGTGACATAATTGAGACCTATGGCAATGACGATGAGGCCTTAACTGCAACTGAAAATGGAGTTGCGGTAGGTGCCTAATCTGGTTTGGGTTTTCGAACATTTCTTTTCTCCTATGCTTTCTTTCCTTCATCATCTCTGTATTTATTATACAGAGAATAGAAGATTGCTTTGCTATTGTTATTCCAATCTGTTGGGGAAAGAGTGAACTTCTGGGTTAACAACTGAAATTGGAAACATTAGAAACTCAAAAAGGAATTAATCAGGAGCCCAAAGTCCCAAACAGGGGAAAACCACAACAGAAAATTTATGGACTTAATTAGTATATCTTATTTTCCAAAACTTAGGACTAAGACTAAACTGTTATAATAAACCACTTATTTACAAATCCCAATTTTAATAGAATTATAAGTTGATTTGAATCTCAAGACTTAATTCAAATATGATCACTTGAGTATAGGATATGTGTTTGTGATGGAATCCTAAAAATTTGTAATAAATGTTTAAATTGTTGCATGCATGGGGGGCAGACAGAACTTTCTTTGTTCCAAGCTCTAAAAAGTCACCTTAATAAGCTGTAATGCGCTTCCCTTCTAGTTTTCATATTAACTCTGCTGAACTTTGATTGATAAAGACATATTTCACATTGGTGTTTTAGGTTGTGGATCTTTCACATTATGGTCGGATAAGAGGTAAGCTTGTCCTTGCATTTTGATATTTTAGAAGCATAGCCATTTCTGGGAAACTATAGTCTATTACTTAGATCTTATAATATGTTGACCTAGTATTATGTATATTAATAATGCAAGTTGCTGGATTCATGAAAGTGGTCTGGTCAGTTGTGATCAATATGGTACCTCCCTGATTAAATATGAATAAGTTAGTACAGAATGTTATTTTCGTAATAGGTTGCCTTTACCAGGAATGTGTTTGCATTGAAATTCTGTGACTTGCTAGTGTGGGAATAATCTTTGCTTTTTCCTCTTTGGAACTTTATAATGTGGTGCTTGTTTAGTGATTTCTGTTTATTTTGTAATTCTGCAGTTAGTGGAGAAGACCGAGTTCAGTTTCTTCACAACCAAAGTACTGCAAATTTTGAAATTCTTCATGAAGGACAGGTAAATAATTAGGATTTGGGAGACAAGAGTATTCAATTTATGAATTTCCTGATCTTAGCATTTGGATTATGCAGGGTTGTGACACTGTTTTTGTTACACCAACAGCTCGTACCATTGACATTGCACATGCATGGATTATGGTAGTTCCTCCTCTCTGTATTTTCCTTTGTATTGAGTTTCCTGCTATGTGTCAGACTATTAATGGGACACATATTTTGTTCTCAGAAAAATGCAATAACATTGGTGACCTCACCAGAGACAAGTGAGAGAATAACATCAATGCTTAGAAAGTGTGTACACTCATTTTCCAGGCATTGTTTTTCTACATTATGTTGTTTACCCATCTTGTATTCAGTGTTGTTTATTTCACTTCACGTGCCAATTCATGCCTCTTAAATATGTTGTCTTTTGGTTGTAGGTACATATTTTTTTCTGACAAAGTAGAAATACAAGATATTTCTAAGCAAACGTGCTTTTTCGTACTAGTTGGGCCTAGAAGCAACCAAGTATATAATCAAATGAAATGTTTATATATTTCTTCTTTTTATTCCTTTTTTATCAATTGATTCATACGAGTTGTTGGTGCAAACAGATAGTGGAAGGATTGAATCTTGGTGACCTTGTTGGACAACCATATGGTTCACACAAGCATTACAGTGTAACTTACTGTTTCCCTTTCAAAATTATTTACTTGAGGTCAGTCAATTCTTGATATAGCTGTGATGTAGACACGGTAGTAGAATGTTGTAGAGCCAATATCTTATCAATTGTGTTTACCACCTCATTGCTAGACACTTGCTTTTATACTAAATGCATCGACATATTGCCAACACCTTTTTTCTCTGCTTGGCATTAAATTATGTGTATAAATCTATTGGCTGGCATGTTCTTTAAAGTGGCTGATTTTTTCTTCCACCGTTCTCACCTCTTAAATAACCCTTCTGCAGTCTCTTTTACATTTTATGATTTCACCAAAGTTTGCCTCGTGCAATTTATAGGAGGAGATTTTTTGCTGATCTGGACTATCTTCATCCATAAAATATAAAATAGTGAATCTTTAGCAGTGGGACCTAATTTTTAAGCGCCTTTACATGTAAAAGGTAAATGGGAATCCAGTAACTATAGCAGTGGGAAATATCATATCAGAAGAAGGTTTTTCACTGTTGGTGTCACCAGCTACTGCTAAATCGGTCTGGAAAGCTCTTGTAGATTATGGTGCTGTACCCATGGGTTCAAATGCATGGGAAGAATTAAGGATAATTCAAGGTTGTTAAATACATAGCATTGCATTCCATACCTCTACTAATTTTATTTGACTTTAGAACACTTTCCAAAATTTTTGTCAAAAACTAGTTGTTGTCACTTCCCAATTTGCATGCTTTGATACCAGATATTCTATCCCGGTTCTGTTTTTAGTTTAATTCCTGTATTTCAGATATATGAATTATTAAGCTCTGATTCTCTTAATCCTGTAGGAAGGCCAGCACCTGGTAAAGAGCTTACCGATGAATTTAACGTTCTGGAGGCTAATCTTTGGAATGCTGTTTCTCTGAATAAAGGTTTTATAATATCCACCTTAAAATCTGTTTGCCTTTGTGAGCTATAGTTTCTCATATACAGAAAAATGACCCCAGGGTGTTATAAGGGACAAGAAACCATTTCTAGGCTTGTTACTTACGATGGAATCAAACAAAGATTGTGGGGAATTCGTCTATCTTCGTCTGTAGAACCTGGCAGCAGCATCTCAGTTGATGGCAAAAAGGTGAAGCTTCTTGCCCTCGATTTCAGAACCTTTCCAATTGTTTCCCTGGTACCATTGCTACAACTCTACCTTGCAGGTTGGCAAACTAACCAGTGTCACAAGCAGTGGAGATACATCCAAGCCTTTCGGGTTGGGCTATATTAGGAAGAAAGCTGCTTCAGAGGGAGACACTGTAATCATCGGGGATGGTGTTGTGGGGACCGTGGTGGAAGTCCCTTTTCTTGGTCGCCAACTCCCGCCATCATCAAAGAGTTAATAAGACAGTTCCAGGTACAAAGTCATAGAAACCTAGATACTAATCTCGTTATTTGCCAACTATATCAAACTATACTCTTAAATTAAAGGCGAATTATAAAGTTTACCCACTTGATCTCTATTAGATTGCAACACTTTGATTTCACATTTTGCTTGGGGTTAAAGCAGGTGTAAAATTCTGTTCCATTCAAGCACCAATAATGATCTCTTGTAAGTGAGACATCATCTCTGCTAATTTAAGCCTTGCACAAATGGTTGGGATATGATTGCATGTGTGCAGTACAGATCATCATCATTATATTACATAGACAATCAGACTCCTGCATGCCTAGCTAGCAAGAACTATGGTGAATTTACATATGATTTAGAGACACATAAACCAAACAAACCAAGATCGACAGCAAAACTTGAACATCAACAACAATCTCTCAGTATGCTGGCAACTTGGGATCGTTGCTCTTCACTCAAATCTGTAGGAAAACCTACGAGAAATCTGAGTCGAAGGTCGCCTCTCTGACCTTGATTATTAGGCATCCCTTGTCCAGGTATAGTTTTCTCTAATCCAGGATAAATGATTTCATCATCCAAGTTCAGAATCATCTCCCCCCCTCCCAATGTCGGCACCGTTATTGTACATCCTGTTAGAGCTTGGACTAAAGGGATTTGAACTCCTAGCTCCAAATCATCTCCTTCCCTCTTGAACATTGAGTGTTTCTTTTCTTCAATCACAAAGATCACATCTGCCGGGAGGCATCCTGGCCGCTCGTCTCCCTTCCCTTCAAATGTAATTTTTGTTCCCCGTCTCCACTCGGGCTTCACTTTGATTGTTACATATTCCTCCTCTTGAATAATTAGTCTGCACATTATCACATATAGTTGATCGTTACATATATTTTGTATATATTATGCTCAACACATACATACCCGGTGTTTGAAAGGATCTCTCTTGTAATCTTGACCTCCTTGGTGCATCCATAACACAACTCCTCAAGCGTGCATTCCAGCCTCTTCTCCACCGGCGGAGGCTTTCTACGAGAGATCGACTCGGATAAAATAATGGGAGTGGCGGTTCTTTTGCTCGATGTTCCCAAAAGATCATGGGATTGGGTGCCAGAAAACGAGGTTGATCTTTCCAAATGGGCATAAAAATCCGCAGCTCTAGGTGTTTTATTGCCTTTCCTGCTGGAGCTTTTCGAAAATTTTGGGGATATTGCGAGCCGGCTGGTGGTCCTTGACAGGAGCCTGGGGCCCGAAATGAACAACTCTTCATCCTCGTCTTGCTCCAAGCTTTCTGGCAGCGTTTTCCGGCTGGAACCTTTGGGTGTATTTTGGTTGTCGACGTCAAAGGTGGCGGTTTGTTTATCTCTCTTTCGGGAACTAATAGCCTGAATTCATCCGAAAACGTTTACATTTTCATTAAATGATAAATAGGAATATATATATATAATTTGTTTTTAAATGCATGCATGGGATATTTTTACGTACCCTTTTTGCCTCATTGATGGAAATGAACTTGGATTCCGGTTTGTCACGATGATTGGAGGTGTTCCTACCTGCGACGTGCCATTTTTTTGCAAAAGCCTTGCAAATGTCTGCAACGTTCGTAGCTTTGGAGATAACCCCAAGAAGGTTGTATGATGGCGTCGCCGACTTTGGATGATGGCCCATGTGAAACGGCGTGGTTTTGAGAGATCAGATAGGATGATAGCGTGCAACTGATGGATGGAGAAGGTACCCGGGAGGGGGGGAGGGTTGAAGCCGGGTGAGAATGGAGATTTTGGGGAAATTAAGGTAAAAGCTAAGGTGGGTCTTTGTCCAAACAATTGTACCACAAAGGGCGCCACGTTCATCATTTTACTTGCATAAATCAAGTTAACCTCAATGTGAAGTGTAGTGTATATATGGATATATTTAGATAAAGACCAATCGTTTTGAACATATTACCCACAATTTTTACACATTGATCAAAACCCATATTTTTTCAACTCAGTAGGTAAGAACGGTTGATAAATGAACTGCCAATTGTAAGGTGAGAGTCAGACTTATAATTTTAGCGATATCAAATGCTATATCACGAGATTCAAAGAAGCAGTCCAAAATAATTCGAGAAAAATTTATAGTGTTACCCAGCATTGCTCCATCAACCACATGCCAAAAAATCACAATCAACCACATGCTCCACAACAAAGTTGGATTTAATTAATTAGGCAAGGACAGAGGATATATCACTATATATCCTGCTGGTCTTGCCACTTAACTAGCTTCCTCAATCAATTAGCAAGTGACGTCGAGTCAAGGTAAAATCAGAATTGTACATATATCGTGCAGTGATTGCAACGTGAGATAGCACTCACCACAGAATTGGTTTGTCTTTATGATAATGTTTCCAGCTTTGATCAATTCAATTGGCCCTGGCCGGCCATTGCCCGCCCCCAAGCTCATTTACGTCTACGTCCTAGCTTTTTATGCGTCTTTAACTTGTACGTGATCGGAGCATGCAGCAGCACCACCACACCTAGTGGACCATGCATGTTTTATCACATCAGCTTTGGTCACGTTACTCACGTACTATATGTCGTTTCAGAAAAATCTAGACGGACAGGATAACCTCAGTCAAATTGGTCGAACAGTTGCTTTGGTAATTAATCATAAATTTTCAAATTCGACTTCCTATGAGAGTTATATATTGGCTTTTTTAGTTTGAGTTGGTCAGTTATGAATAACTTAGATTGTACCTAGCTTCTTGTGATCATTTGTCAGCTAATATCATAAAATAGGCTTTACTTAGAGTACACACAAATGATAGGTAGTCAAATTTGGCATATATTGTGACCACTCTGAAAGTGATCATTAAGCTTTCTATATTCGTTTTCCTTTGCCTAACAAATTTCATCATGTGATACTTAATATTTATCATATCGTTTTGTTGGGCTTTTGTACCCGAGAGTGCTATAGTAAAGTACCCACTTACCAACCCTGATTAAGGGAAGTGTTGTGGCAGATATAGAAAGATGGATTAGTAGACTAAATGACATTACATATATAGGAAAATTCTAAGAGGTCGGAGAGGAGTTGAAATAAGATTGGAACATGTAATTGTAATAATATATATGACCCGAGGAATCGAAATACGAATTGTAACTTGTAATTGTTATAATATGATCAGAGGAGTCAAAATAAGATTTGTAACATGTAATTGTAATAATATGACCAGATGATTGGAGTCGAAATAAGATTTTAACTTGTAATTGTAATAATATGATCAGAAGAGTCAAAATAAGATTTGAAACTTGTAATTGTAATATATGATTAGAGGAGTCAAAATAAAATTTGTAACTTGTAATCGTATATGTTTCAACGGGAATAATACTTACTAACCATTCCCTTTGTTACATTTTACATGTCTTGTTTATAATTCATTAGTCAAAATATTCTTTTTTCTTTGTTTAATTTATTCAGTATTTTTTTTTATTTATTTTTAATTTTAACTTTTATATTTAATAGTATTTTTCATATAATTTTTAAATATATGAATTTTATATATTAATACTAAATTTAATATTATAAAAAAAATTGAACAACTTCTCACTAATCAAACTAGAATATAAAATGGAAGAGAGAAAGCATATATAAATTGTTCTTTAATCCCATTGTATATTTGTATTATTGTATAGTACTTTCTTGGGTCGTCAAAGTATAAATACTGTGGCCCCACACGTACAGTAGTCCCATCCCTAACCTCATTGCATCCATACAATGCATGTCGACACTCGTACAAGTAAGAAATTGTACGTTTAGCATCCAAAATGTTCTCTTTGTCATAGCATTTTTTAAAGAAATAATATTGTATTTAATCTTAATACATATATACCCAAAAAAAAAAAAAAAAAAAAAAAAAAAAAAAAAAAAAAAAAGAAGAAGAAGAAGAAGAAGTGTATACAATATTAATAATTGTTGAGATTAATATAATATTGCTAATCATATTGTCCCTCAAAAATAGGACATTGACTGGAGTTCGGATAAACCGACTATTACGAAAAGCCTTTGGGCTTGCAGAGTACCCTTCTAAAAGGTCGGCACCCATCCTCACTTGGGACACCTGATTCACCTACTAAATTAGCTTGTTAATAATAAGAATGTGTGAAGTTTGTTACAATTGCTATATATCCATCCTCACTTTGGACACCCGATTCACCTTCTTAGCTTGTTAATAATGAGAATGCGTGGAGATTGTTACAATTATTATATATCCATGAGAGCTGGAAAGTTTGTTACAATTGCTATATATATATATATGCATGCTTTCATCTTATTAAATTTAATAATGTAATAGTTGTGTATCACCCTATTTTATAAATATAACTTTTATAAATATAACTTAAATATAATGTACTAAGAAAGGGATCGACATTTAGTCTTTTTTATTAACCTACTGAAACACAAACAGTTAATATATCCACTGAGATTCAAACTTATGACCTCTCATTTGAAATTAAAGAACTACAATTATACTATTCGAACACTACAGGGTGTTTGGTTGGAAGGATTTTAAATTTTCTTCCCACTTAATTCCCACCTAATTCCAAAGGCCATTAAACTCCGTAGTTTGGTTGGAGGGAATTGCAATTTCCCCATTTTCATGGAATTAAAATCCCATGTCCCCCCTGATATTTTAATTCCTAGGAAAAAAAAAGAAGATAGTGATGAGTCAAAATTACCCCTTCCTTTTTTAACCTAAAAGTAATGTCTAACAACAATAATGGACATTTTTGACTTTATACTACTTATTCCCTTTCAATTCCAATGTATACCAAACATTGGAATTGAAATTTCCAGTAATTCTATTCCTGTCAACCAAACACTGGAATTTAAATTCCCACTTTATTCCCAGTAATTCAACTCCCATGGAATTACAATTCATTTCCCATATAATTCCCCCCTCCAACCAAACGCCCTGTAAGTCTTTGGTTTCGATCTACTCATCTAAATACACACTATTCTTTATTTGACTCACCCTAAGTGATCATGAACCTTTTAGTTTTTGCATAATATTATCATATACGCTTTTTAATTACCATCTTGTGCTTAATTAACCTTCCGCTTATATTAGAATCGTATGTCAATAAACACCAACTTAACAACAAGCAAAATTATTCATTTTCTTTTATCTTTTATAATTAATTGCGCATACATTTGTAGTGCCCAAAAAAATAAGAATTCAAAATCTTAGTTTATTACGTGTCAATGTCAATTTATTAATATTCTTCCAAGGTCAATTTATTAATATAGACATGTGAGTCGTCGTTGCCGGTCTTATTTAATTTACTTTAAACAGAATTTGTTAAGACTATTTAATTATAGAAGAAGAAAAAAAAGTATGGAACTTTGAACGTGTTACATGCACGTTGTTGTCACATTACTATACGAAGTAATTAAGGAAGGTTATAGTAGCGTCGGCAGTGACTAAAAGATCAATTATTGGTCATATTGTGAATTTGTGGTTATTAAAGTCCAATTTTGCTTATTATTGTTCCCAAAAAAATTGAATCCCCACCCTCAAGAGTTTCCATGCGCTGCCCTGGCTCGACAGAGCATCTGAGAGGGTGTAAATCATGGTAACTTAGTTGAACACAGAGATTAGATCTTTAATTTGATTACTGTGCACAAAGAGCCCCTCACTTTGAAAGGTAGTTCTCACACTGTCGTTGGTATAATAAGACTTGGCCTTAGAACATTGTTTTTAAACTTCATCCATGTGAGCAACTGAGCTGCCCATGGAGGCTCCAATTTTACTTATTAGTCTTCTTCGGTGGTTGTTATGATAATTTTTGACCAAAACTATATAAATATTCATTTAATTACATGATACTTCCTCTTAGCCAATTCTTGGCCGGGGGAACTAATCAACTAATCCCTCTTTTTGGAATATTCATTTTTGAGTGGACATAATTATGTTCAACGTTTTTCCTTTGAAACTATACTATTCTAGATTTCTAGCTAATGTTCCATGCCTTGTCTTTTAATTTGCAACTATTTTATTCTTTTTTTTTTTCTAAAAGCACCACTTTTAATTTATATATGCCTTTTCCAAGTACATTCTATATTATATAGTTAATTTAAACATGTAAAATTATTATATTTTTTAAAATATCAACCAAACTATTTGATATTGAGAAATAGTAATATAATCTTGATTAAATTAAAATTGGTAGGTCCAATATCTAGACCCCTCCAACCATACTCTTGTATGTATGTGCGGCATTATTTGAGAGGGAAGGCTTATCATCACAAGAGAAAGATAGGTAGAAAATCTCATCATCATAAATTGTGTGGGTTCACTTTCTCAAATAATTTCTTCATCTTTTTAGTTGAAGGATAAGTTCGATCTGCTCCAATTAAAAGTCCTTTAATTTTTTATTTTTGTTTTTAATTCAATTTAAACTGATGGTTGAATTACATGTTCAGAATATTCTCTGCCCCCACACTCCAACCCGACAGAGCATGTGAATCAGGGTGACTCAATGGGTTAGTAAACCGGGTCAAATGCCGGTGCGCACAAAAAATCTGCCCACTTTGGACATAATTTGCACACTGCCACGGCAGAGGTTCAAACATTTGTCTCTTACTCCAAATACTACCCACTAAACCATTGAGCTAAGCCCGTGCTGGTCTTTCAGGAGTATTTCTGATTTTACATTTGAGAGGACCACTACCTCATTTATTCT